TGGGACTGCCCCTTCTGGCCCTTCTTGACAGATTTTCTCCTTTTGTTCCCTAAATGGCATTTTCTCCGAGTTCCTCTCTTACAGGCTCTGTGCTGTCACTTATACGTCCTTTCTCCTACATCCAGCCCTTGGATTTTGGTGTTCCCTCAGTGTGATGGGACAGTTTCTCTCTGCCTCCTGGGCACACAGCTGAACTACGCTTCCCAGCCCCTTTTGCACTGAGGCCGCTGCGTGACCGAATTCTGCCCCATGGAATGTGAGCAAAAGTGACATGTGCCACTTCTAGACCTGGCCCATAAAAGTCTTCCCACGATCCCCCTGCCCTCTCTCCTCCCCAGAATGACAGAGCACAGAATGGAAGGAGCCAGGGTCCCTGAACGGCCTACAGCCGGAGCCATATACCGTTATTTAAATTGCTGTCTAAAATCAGATGACTCTTTAAAAAAAAAAAAAAAGATGAAATCAGATGACTCTTGCTCTGGCTGGTGTGACTCGGTGGATTGAGTGCTGGCCTGTGAACCAAAGGGTCAGTGGTTCGATTCCCAGTCACAGCACATGCCTGGGTTGTGGGCCAGGACCCTAGTTGGGGACACGTAAGAGGCAGCCGATTAAATGCACGTCAGTGTTTCCCTCCCTCTCTTTCTCTCTCCCTTCCCCTCTCAAAAGGTAAATAAAGTCTTTAAAAAAATAAAGAAAATCGGATGACTCTTAAATCCAGATCTCCTACTCTGATATCCCTCCTAAGATCCAGGTCTTTATTTCTAACCATCTCTAAACATCCCTTCTAACACTTCTAAAAATGAGCTTATTAAGTTCTCCAGGAAAATGCTCACCTCTCTGCATTTCCACCTAACGATATTGGCATCTCAGTCTCCCAAGATAGAAACCTTGAAGTCTAACCTCATCCTTCCCCGGTCAACTGCCAATTGGTCCTAAACTCTATTTTATGAATAAATATATTTCTGACCTGACTTCTTTTTTCACTGTAAGCCACACTCCCACTGTCTAAGTCACACGAGACTAATGCCCGACCTCCTGGATGCCAGGTTCATCCGAAAGGCGGATCTGGCCCTGACTGGTGTGGCCCCGTGGGTTGGGTGTCATCCAGCAAAGCGAAAGGCTGCCACTTTGATTCCTGGTCCGGGCACATGCCTGAGTTGCAGGTTTAGTCCCTGGTTGGGGTGTGTACACGAGGCAATCAATCAATGTTTCTCTCTCACATCAATGTCTCTCTCCCTCTCTTTCTCCCTCCCTTCCCCTCTCTCTCAAAATAAATAAATAAAATCTTAAAAAAGAAAAGAAAAAGACAGAGCTGGTCTTGCCACATGTTTACTTAAAAACCACTGTTTAGCCCTGGCTGGTGTAGCTCAGTGGATTGAGGGCGGGCCTGCAAACCAAAGGATCGAGGTTCAATTCCCAGTCAGGGCACATGCCTGGGTTGCAGGCCAGTTCCCAGCAGGGGACGCACGAGAGGCAACCATGCATTGATGTTTCTCTCCCTCTCTCCTTCCCTTCCCCTCTAAAAACACAAATAAATAAAATCTTTATTAAAAAAAACAGTGTTTGTTCATGCATTAATGCATTTATTCCTCCATTCAGTAAATACATATCAGTTAGCTGCTATGTGACAGGCCCTGGCCTCTGAAGTCACAAAGGCGACATGTGGACTTGGACACATGAAGGACACCTTCACATAATTACAGCCCAGTTGTTTCTGCTATCACACAAGGTGTTGTAAGAGTGGAGGAGAAATATTATGTCTGTTTGGGGTGGTGGCCCTGGAAACTTAATGACACCCTGACTGGTGTGGCTCATTGGGTTGGGTGTCATCCGCAAAGCAAAATGTCACCGGTTCCATTGCTGGTCAGGGCGCGTGCCTGGGTTACAGGCCAGGTTCCCCAGCTGGGCACATGGAAGAGGCAACCAATCAGTGTTTCTCTTGCACATCAATGTTTCTCTCCCTCTCTCTCCCCACTTCCCCTCTAATAATAAACAAAATCTTTCAGAAAAAAAGAAAAAGAAAGAAAAGGCATCAGCATTTGAGCTGAATCTTGACCATTGAGGAGGAGTTTGGCAGGAAGTCAAGTGTGTGTGTTGTGGGACAGGCTGCGGGTGGGCTGGCTTCAGCCAGACTGTGCACAAATGCAGGACCGAGTATGCAGCTCTCTCCATGGCTGACACCTCCTGAAATCTGGGCCGTGGTCCAGCTGTCCTGGTGCCACAAGCTGGGAAGGCAGGTGCTGAGCACCCTAGGGTGCTGAGGCACACTGGCACCCATTTGCATCTCATTGGTGGGAACAAGTAGATTGTCTCCAAAACACCCCGGGTTTCTGTTGTCTAATGTCTCTACCCCCAGCCTCCCCAGAGCATGACAGTCGCCCACTGTGCAGGCTTCCCAACCAATTCCCCCTTAGTGTTTGGAGTGCTCAGGGCTGACGAGGGTCACTTCTGCCTGAAGCCCCCCCCAACCCCCCCCACCCCGGCTAGCCCACCCTCCACAACTTCTGCCTGCCAAGGACCAAAGGTCAGAATTGAGGATGCAGAAGAAAATCAGGTGTAAATGTTCATTTTCAGAAATAAAGTGTCCTTAAAACCACGCATTGAAGCCCTTTTCCTGTCTGCAAAAGTGAGTTAATAGATTTCTCAAGGCCACTCCCACCCAGATCCTCTTCCATTTGGAATTTTCATTTTGGACGACAAAGCTTTATTTGTAATCACAATCTTAATGTGCGCTTTAGAGATGAAAATAGAAACGTGTTTTAAAATAGAAGATGAAGCATAATATACTGTATATGACTGTGTGTGTGAATCCTATATTTAAGAAACTAGAAGGTGCTGGTAATTAACTTTTGCAAAAGAGGTAAAATATTATTTTACTGTCCAGACAGAAAGGTTTTCAACACTTTCAGTTTTCCACCCCTCCCCAAGAAAAGCACACAGGCTGTTCTGGGAGCTGGCTACAAGGAACTCGATGAGGTGGGAGGGCTTTGGCCTTGGGGCTCAGGACTGACCGAGCAGGGGTGGGCACAGGAGTAGCAGGGCCAGATCTCAAAGGGGTCTTATACCGCATGCTAAAGAAGGTGGGCTCTATCCTGACAGACTTAGGGAGTGCAGGGATAATCTGGACCGAGTGGCCTTTTAGAAGTGTCACTAGGACTACCAAAGGCAGAGGTTGGAAGGGATCGGGGTCGTGAAACCAGAAGGGAAGGCCCAGCAGGACCAGGCAGGGTATAATGGGGCCTGGAGAGAAGAAAGGGGTCCCAGGGACTGTGGAAGAAGAGTCAGCTGGACTTGGCACCGGGGAGCGAGGGCAGAGGAGAAAGTCGGTCCTGGAGGTGACTACTGAGCTTTTGCAGAATGATGGCACAGGCTCCCTGCTGTTCCTAGAGGAGCGCTCCTCCTAGGGAACCTCCCTTCAGCCAAAGCAGGATAATGCTATGAAGTAATCATCATCCACTTATATGGAAAAATAGGGGGCGTTCCCAGAACCAAAAAATAACCTGCCAAATCATACACGAAACCTAAAGTGATACGAACATATAGTAAAAGCAGTGCCCCCCTCGCTGCTCCAGCTGCGTGGGGTGCGTGCAGCCTGTGGAGGCTGCAAACCCAACGTTGACTACTTTTTTCTCCGTTCGCCTTTTTTTGGTGAAAGTGAAAATCCTCTTCATTTCTTTTGTGTAATGAAAACAGGTGCTATCGCAGGTCTTTTGTAAAAAAGTGAAGGGGCAAAGGATGTGACTTGCCAGCAGCGGGAGATACCTACATTTCCCACGTGCTGAGGCCCCAAACAGAGGAGTGAAACTGGCTTCAGGTTTAACTTCCCCACGGCTTCCAGACTGAATTAGAACCCTCAAGCCCTTCTCAGCACGGCTCCACCCGGCCTTTCCAGCCTCGTCTCCCACAACTCTCTTCAAACCATACCCCCCCATCCTGCCCAGAGAACACTTATTTGTTAATGTTTTTGTAACTGTAAAAGTGATTGATATTTATTGTATAAAAGTTGGAAAGTATAGAAAAGTATAAACAAGCCCTGGCTGGTGTGGCTCAGTGGATTGAGCGCTGACCTGGGAACCAGAGGGTCGCCAGTTCGATTCCCAGTCGGGGCACATGCCTGGGTTGCGGGCCAGGTCCCCAGTGGGGGGGGCGCGTGAAAAGCAATGGCACTTTGATGTTTCTGTCCTCCTCTTTCTCCCTCCCTTCCCTTCTGTCTAAAAATAAATACATAAAATCTTGAAAAAAGAGAAAAGTATGAGTAAAATAAAATCCCCAACAAACCTGTTCCTTTATAGATAACCACAGTTACCACACGTTCCCACTTAACATTATATTGTAGACATTTTCCAAAGTCATTACATAGTCTTTGAAAACATTTTTAGCGTCATGATAAGTATACTAAGCCATTGACAATTATTTTTATAATTGATATATCTGGTCCCCTCTTGTCGCTATATTTTATATTTTTTATTGTTTCTCTCCTTGTTTTTCCTTTTTGGTCTCACAATGTCTACCCATCCTTTGCTTTCCCCCTCACCTCCCCGCTAGAGAATTGAAAGGCATCTCTCTGCTCCATGACTGTCAAAAAAGAATCTCTACTGACTGCTCACACTCCCCAAGGGTGCCTTTACCCCCGCCGAGAGTGACCTTCTCCCCTTATCGGCCTGGCGAAATCCTTCTTAGCCTTCAGAATCCCTCAGGAGCCATCCTCGTTCACTCATTCAAGTGGACACTTACTAAGGTCTTCACACACACTGGCACGGTGGTCCCCAGGAAAACGGCGCGGACCTGGCAAAGACCCTGTGAGACTCACTCAGGGGAAGCCTCCTAGCCTTCCCCAGGGGCAGAGTGCCACTACTTTTTGGGGGTACATTTATAAATTTTTTTAGCCCTGGCTGGTGTAGGGGTGGGAAAGGCAACCATACATTGATGTTTCTCTCCCTCTCTCCTTCCTTTCCCCTCTAAAGATAAATAAATTTAAAAAATTAAAAAAAAATAAAAAATAAAATTTTTTGTGCTTTTATTTGAAAACCTTTCACATTTTTAATGTTTTCTGGACTGAGCAGAGCCCCATTGGGCACCTTACCCACCCCACCCCATTTCCTGCAGGATTTGCCCAGGACCCCGAAAATATTGGTTCAGAACATGTCTGCCTGTGCCGAATGAGCAGGGTGCCGCTGACCGCCTCTGAGTTCAGTGCCGACATCATCTATACCTGAAGTTGGGGCACTTGGTTTGATAAATCTGACGCAACTGTGGTATCCTGAGGGACTTTCGGAACTAAACTTCTGCTGCTCTGTGGCTACAGCTAGTCCAAACGATGCCTTGTAAGAAGTAGAAAAAGGCGCCCAGACACGGTTTCATGGGTGCCCAGCCTGCACGGTGAAGGCTGGATTTCCACCCCAGCTCAGCCCGTCCCCACAGGCCAGACACAGGCCTGTGTGGCCAGGTGGGTCCTTGGCCACTTTGCGCCACTTCTCTCCCCCATCTCATGACCAGCCCCGCCGCCCTCCTCCCTGGTTCAGGCCACATGGCAGTCACACTCACAGTTCCCAACTGCCTCTCTCTTTGTAGGTCAGCCAGACTGCTCTCAGCCTCCGCACCCTGTGACTCAACAACTTCCTCTTTGCAAATTTCCTCTTTGCCCTGGGGAAATACCAACCGCTTCTGGCCCATGTGGCACCCCGGGCTCTGGCATGGGCTGGTCTCAGAGATGGCCAGTTGGTTCTTGTCCCCTCCTGTCCATCCCAGATCCAGAGGGGAAGCCCCTGGTTCTGCCAGCCGGTCCTACGTCCTCATTTAGCTCACTCTCGCTGACTTTGTCACCCGGAGAAGGGAAAGCGCTTGAAAATATGTAACAGCAGAGTTGCACCAAGACCCAGTTACCAGGTCTCCTGTCTCCCTCCCTCCTATGCCGGGGAGGCTGTGAGAAAGGAACACAGTGGCTGAACTGAAGAACCACGCTAGGGTCATCACAAATGCCGTCTTTCTATCGAGTCTAGCATTCCTTTATTGGGCAACAGACAAAATTAAATCTACTACCTCCACCCATTTGAGCAGAGATGAAGGCACAGATATTCTCAGCAGGTCCTCAGGATGGCATGTCCTCAGCTTCTGAAACCCTTCCTGCCCCTCCCTCACGCCCTTCATACTCACCTCTACCCTTCACAAATCACCAAATCCTTGACTCTTGCACACAAAACACACCCATAAGTGTACCCACACAGGCGCTGGGGCTTCTGAGAACCATTCCTGCCCAGAAACCTCCGTCCTCCGGAGGAGTAACAGCTGAAGCCTTTGGCTACCTCAGTCCATAGTTAGCTCTAAGGGAGAGTGTGGTGACACTCCCTTGGGACAAAGGCCAGCCTAGAGTCCAGGTGCTGTCACAAGCACACTTGAGAGCACAGCTAGATGACACCACTCCAGGCTGGCCCTGCACAGAGCACTGAGGCCTGGAGTTAAATGAATTTCATGGGATGACCCAGGAACTGTCCTAGCCTATGGGGTCAGATGTACTTTCCAAAGTAATCAAGATGAGTTTGCTGGCTTGTCATTTCCTTCTTCTCAGACTCTGATGTCCCCGAAGAATCCTCCGAGCAATCATAGGTCAAGGAAATTTGGCCTTGTGGAGACTCGGCCTCTGGTTTCAAGGGCAAAAATGTGGCAAAAAGGGTTAATGGAGAGGAGTAGGGGTTGATGAGGAAGTCTTATTCATTCAGTCTTCAGGCCTTCAGTGGGTGTAGGCCCTGGCCTTGGTGCTGGGTTCAAGTGCTGGGCGGCAATGCCACTCTGGGGTGTTGGGTACAGAAGCTGGAAGTCCCAGGGTTAAGAAGCTAGATGAGGGTTCAGAGCGAAAATGTTGGGTGAAAACGCTAGGTGATGATGAGGTTGAAAGTGATGGATAGGAGGGAAGGTGACGGAAGCTAGAAATGACCTCCAGTCTTGTGTTCACAGGCACTAAGGGACCTCCACATCTCCCACTTCCTGTCCATCAGAATCAGCGGCCTCCACAGCCCCATTCTCACTGCCCACAAGTGGCTCTTCCTCCCCCTTTAGGCTGGAGGTTGACCCAGCCTTTAGCTCCTCCAGGGCCAAGGAACCCTGGCGAGACTTCCGTCTACCAAAGAAAGTGGTGAGTGTAGGCCCACGGCTGGAACCCTCCCCCTCTGGGATCCCAGAGCCCTTGTCACCACCAGACCCTCCTGCTGTTGTTATCACAGCCTCCTCATCAGACACTCGGGCGGGCCCAGCCCAGGCATCTACCACCCCATTGCGCTTTCCTCCTCTGCTTAGTGTCAGGGCACCTGTCCTCCGCTTCTGCCGCTGGCGCCACAGCAGGAGTAGGGCCAAGAGGACAATGACCACCAGAAGAGCCACAAGCACAGCCACTATTAGGGTATTATTTGTCCTCTGATCTGGACTTACAGAAGGCCCACTGTCTGTGTTTGTGGAGGCCTTTGGGGCAGTCATGATGGGCACTGTTCCCCAAGAGGTGGGGGAGCCACTAGTCTCCAAAGAGCTAGTTGTCATTGTGCCAGGGAATACACTGGTCCCACTGGAAGTCTCCAGATAGCTAGTTGCTATGGTGATGGGGGGTCCACTGGTTGTGTTAGAGGTATCCAGAGAGCTAGTTGCCATGGTGACGGGGAGTCCACTGGTCCCACTGGAGCTTTCCTGAGAGCTAGTTGCCATGGTGACGGGGAGTCCACTGGTCCCACTGGAGCTTTCCTGAGAGCTAGTTCCCATGGTGATGGGGAGTCCACTGGTCCCACTGGAGCTTTCCTGAGAGCTAGTTCCCATGGTAATAGGAGGTCCACTGTTCCCACTGGAAGTCTCCAGTGTGCTAGTTGTCCTGGTTCCACCAGTCATATTGTGAAGTCCCAGAGTATTCATTGCTGGTGGAGTGGGGTTACTGTTTACATTAGAGATTTCCTGGAACACTGATGGCTTCTCGGTGGAAACTTCTTGGGAGATTGTTGGTCCGGCTATAGAAAGGCCACTACTTGCAGCAACAAAAGTCTCAGGAGAAGACACCTCACTGGCTGTATAAGGAGCTGAGGAAGGTGGGACGGTCTGGTGCCCAGTGCTGTCATTTTTCTCGGGGACCCTCGGTGTATAATTGGAGGCCATTGAGCTAAGTTTGGGGGCCTCAGAGCTATTCGTAACCAAAGTAAAAGGAGAGTTTATGGGTGTAGATGCCTCCAGAGAGGCCAAGTAACCCCCAAAGAAGAGGAGAAGCAGGATCATTTCCATGACAACAGGCACGAGCATGAGTTGGGACCTGAGGGTAGGGAAGTTGGAGAAATGGAACACATGAAGAGCTATGGTAGGACCTGGCCAGGCCCTTCCCTCCCGCCCACTTCCCTGCCAACTGCAAGGCCTAACCTGTGGTTTAACGGCTTTTTCCACCCTTTCTTTTACTATTATCAGAAATAACAGGGGAACAGATGTTGGCAGCTCCCCTATCAACTATCCCATAGCACCCCCACACCCAGCCTTAGCAGCATGCACTCCGGCAATGGCCTCCCCTCCTGGCCTTCCCTGACCCCATTCAGCCCCAGTGGCTCCTGACACTCTTTCCCCGTCATCTATCAGTGTCTTCACAAGCCATAAGCACATTCCCAGGTCTCCTGAGACCCCTGCCCCACCAAATCACACCCCCTTACCAGCTCACTTGATAAGGACACGGGCTGGGGCCAGGCTGCTCCAACTCCTCCTGAAGGTGGGGCAGGACTGGGCAGACAGGGCCCCAAGGGGAAAGGAAGTAGCCCTAGCCCCACCCACCTCACCCCAGCATCCTGCCCCACCCACCCTGTTCCCACAGCTGCCATGTGTTGAGAGCAGCATCACTCCTTCTGGGGTCTGAGGTGGTGCCAGAGGCTCTGGGGCCTTAGCTGATGTAGGGGCAAGGAGTCTGGAATGGGGATTCCTGGGTGTTAGCTGGGAAATGGGATGGCAAGAGGTAAAGGGGGGATAGAGAAGGGGTTCAGACCTGGGGTGATGGAAATGTGCGTACTTGAGAACTAGGGGGTGCAGAGGAGGAAATGGGAGGGGAGGGTGGTTTCCTCTGCATCTGTGGTGCCCAAGCTGTTAGGCCAAGAACCCGAGGTGGCACTGGCCTCAGAGCTCCTAGGAAGTAAAATGCAGGAGGAAGCCCCTGACTCTTCTGGGGTCAAAGAAAGCCTATGCAAGCCGCATAGATGCCTGGTGAGCCTTTGACAACTTCCCAAGAAGCTGGGGAGTGGGGGGTGGGGGGTGGGTGGTCACCACAATGTCCCCAGTAGTGGGTACTTAACTAAATCAAGCACTGCATATCTTACGACATTATTTTTGTAGAAGATTAATAAAGATACGGGAATCTACATGGAATAAGTCTGGAAAGATATCCACTGAGGTGTTGACCAAGTTTCTCAGGATAGGTATGAGCAGGAAGTTCTTTATTTTCTTCTGTGGATGGTTGCTGTTTTCTGACCTCCCCCCAGTGTAAAAGCTTTGGCTTTTGCTATGTGTGTGGTTTTATTCTTTTCCTTTCTTTTTAAAAAATCTAAACTGATTTGCACATTGTAAAAGCAATACATGTACATGACAGATGACTGAAACAAGCCAACGTCAGGTCCTGGGATCTTACAGCGCTCCCAAGTAAATGAGTGAAACTGACACAAAGACACGAGACTCCTGGGTCAGAGACACAGGAATTCAGGAGTCACCGAACAGCAAGCAGCCGGAGCGTTACGTTTTCATCAGCTCCCCTTGCCCCGAGCCCCCAGGGGTGACACATAGAGGCTTGGCCCACAGCTGAGGAATTTTCCTCTTTTCAGGCAGGCGGTAAGAAAGCCTGCTCTTTGTTCTGAAGGGAGACTTTATCCTTAGACTCACTCTCTGCTAACACAAACCTGAGAAATGGCCTGGATGTAGAGTGGCCAGGACTGCACTTTTAGCACACCAGCCGGAGTGTGCGGGGATGCTCAGGGCCACAGCGGACTGCCTCTCCGACAGTCAGGAGAGTATGAGATGAAAAGGCTCCACACCACCACCAGCAGATAAACATTCGTAACAATGTCTGTGTTTACACATGCATGCATTTTATTATATTAGATTTCGTTACACACACTGTTCTGCACTATTCTTTTTGTACTGAACTAACCTAAGATGGAGAGAAGGAGAGAAGGAGGGAGGGAGGGAGGGAGGGAGAGAGGGAGGGAGGGAGGGAGGGAGGGAGGGAAGGAGAAAGTGGGGAAGAAAGGAAGGAAACCATTGCATTGTTGGACCTTTAGGTTATCTCAACATTTTGCTACTGCAAACAGTAAAGTAAGAATAATTGGCTGCAAAGTAATAGAAGATTTTTAATTTAAAAAAAAATCAACAAAAGTGCTTGTAAGACTGCACAAAGATTCCCAATTTTCCAATCCTTTAAAAATTTATTTATTTATTTATTTTCAGAGAGGGAAAGGGAGGGAGAAAGAGAGGAAGAGAAACATCAACGTGTGGTTGCTTCTCATACACCCTCTACTGGGGACCTGGCCCACAACTCAGGTATGTGCCCTGACTGGGAATCGAACCAGTGACCTTTTAATTTTCAGGCTGGCGCTCAATCCACTGAACCACACCAGCCAGGGCCAATTTTCAAATCTTAAAAAAAACAAAAACAAAAACACACTGCCTTGGCTGGTGTGGCTCAGTGGTTTGAGCTCCAGCCTGCAAACCAAAAGGTCACTGGTTTGATTCCCATTCAGGGCACATGCTTTAGTTATAAGCCAGGTCCTTAGTAGGAGGTGCTCTAGAGGCAACCACACATTCATGTTTTTCTCCTTCTTTCTCCCTCCCCTCCCTTTCTCTAAAAATAAATAAATAAAACCTTTACAAAAAAAAAAACACTGAAGCAAAATTCATTTTTGAAAAAATTATCATTAGGACCAAATTGCTGCTGGCAAAGTTGCATGCTCCCCGAGCTCTCTGCAGTGCTCCAGGTAGCTTTTTATTAGCTCATTCTGAAGTATGAATGAACTTTTGACAGATACCAGACATTTAAAAAAAACCCTACAACATGAAAGAAAAGCACCAAGACAAAGCAACTCCATCGCCCACTCTGCCTCCCTTCTTTCTAACAGAAGCCCAGTTTGTTGTTCAGAGGCCCACCCTCCATGCAAATCAGGGACACTGACCCCTCCTTCAGCTCCAGGAGAAAGTATAATTAATCTGATCACCCATCCTTGCCCATGATTGGGTCAGGACCAGGCATGTGACCCAATTCCAGCCACAGAAATGCAAAAAAGAGAAGCTTCTTAGAAAGTTCTTCCTTACTTTTAAAAGAAAACCAGAAGCAGTGACTTCTCTCTCCCACCAGACATGATTAAGGACATATCCTAATGACTCTGAGAGGAACCAGCCTTAGGATGACGACAGTGGTGTGGGTGGCACAGTAGGGAGGCAAAGAGCATGGGATCCTTGAGGCACTGCAAAAGCTAGATCAACAGGCCCTGAATCCTACTGATACCCTTCAGTGTTCTTTGTATAAGTTGGATCTTTAGTTATTTGTAGCCAAAGCATCGTAAGTATATAAACAAAATGAAAAATAATACTTGTGGAAACAATAGAAGTTATATAAAGAAAAAGAAAGAAAGAAAAAGCTGGTGGTCCTAGAGAAATTTGAGAAAAAATTGCTTCCTTAAAATAAGAACAGGATGCTATGACAAGAAATACCTAGAATACAAGAATGAATACTTAGACATTAAAATAGTAATATGGAATTAATAAAATGGTTGGAATATAAAATAAAGGAACAATTCCCAGAAAATTGAAGCCCCCAAAAGTAGGAGGTGGAGGAGAAAATATGAGAGACAATATATAGGCTACCTTATTTCAGGTAAAGCTGTGATGCAGTAAAGAGACCCAATAATGGGTGGGTCTAAAGAACAAAGTAGATTGTTTTTATTTAATGGAACATGTCCACCTCACATCATTCAGGGACCCAGGTCCCTTTCTAGTCATTGCTCTCTCATCTGCTAGGGCACGGATGAATTTACTCTCTTGAGTTCTAACTAGGAGGAAGAAAATGGGGGCATGGTGGAAACACAACTTGCCCATCTTCTTAGCCTAAGACTAGAAGTCCTAAATGTCAATTTCATCACATTTTGATGCCAAAAAATTTAGTCCGTGACCATGCCTAACTGCAAGGGAGGGTGAGAAATGTAGTTCAGCCATGTCCCCCTGGAAAGAAGGGATAAAAGGATATTGGATTTTGGTGAGCAGTGAGAAGCCCTCAGTGCAGAAACAATCTACACAGCAGATCAGTCTAAGAAACCCAAGCCAGCTGTGCCAAGAAGAGAACTGAAAAAATGGAAAGGGGATAATTATCTCAGAAATGACACAACATAATTATCAGAGAAATAACTTTCACTCAGCTGAAAAACATGCATTTTCAGACTGAAAAGCCCATCTAGTACCTGCCCAATGATAGAAGACCCATACCCAAGTACATCATAACCCCAGAGGTGTTGTTTATGATTAACTCTGAGTGCAAAAAATGTAGGCGAGATTAGAAATAAAAGATGGAGCATTACAACTGATACCACAGAGATAAAAAGGATCATGAGAGACTTCTATGAGCAATTATATGCCAACAAATTTGACTACCTATAAGAAACAGATAAATTCCTAGAAACATACAACCTATCAAGACTGACCAAGCCATGAAGAAATAGAAAATGTGAGCAGACCAACTACTCATAAGGAGATTAAATCAGAAATCAAAAACCTCCCAAAACACAAAAGTCCTCAACTAGGTGCCTTCACTGGTGAATTCTACTGAAATTAAAGAATTAATACCAATCCCTCTCAAACTCTTCCAAAAAATAGAAAAGCAAGCACTTCTAAACTCATTTTACAAGACCAGCACTACCCTGATACCCAAATCAGATAAGAATATTGCAAGAAAAGAAAATTATAGGCCAATATCCCTGATGGACTTGGATGTAAAAATTCTTTTTTTTAAATATTTTGTATTGATTATGCTATTACAGTTGTCCCATTTACCCCCTTCATTCCCCTCCACTCTGCACACCCTCTCCCTCCCACATCCCCCCCTTAGTTCATGTTCGTGTGTCTTAAGTTCTTTAGCTTTTACATATCCCATACTATTCTTGCCCTCCCCCCTATTTTCTACCTACCATCTATGCTACTTATTCTCTGTACCTTTCTCCCCCTCTCTTCCTCCCACTCCTCTGTTGCTAACCCTTCATGTGATCTCCATTTCTGTGGTTCTGTTCCTGTTCTAGTTGTTTCCTTAGTTTGTTTTTATTTTAGGCATGGTTGTTAGTAATTGTGAGTTTGCTGTCATTTTACTATACATGTTTTTTTATCTTCTTTTTCTTAGATAAGTCCCTTTAACATTTCATAAAATAAGGGCGTGGTGATGATGAACTCCTTCAACTTGACCTTATCTGAGAAGCACTTTATCTGCCCTTCCATTCTAAATGAAAGTGTTGCTGGAAAGAGCAGTCTTGGACATAGGTCCTTGTCTTTCATGACTTGGAATACTTCTTTCCAGACGCTTCTTGCTTGTAAGGTCTCTTTTGAGAAATCAGCTGACAGTCTGATGGGAACTCCTTTGTAGGTGACTGTCCCCTTAGCTCTTGCTGCTTCTAGGATTCTTTCCTTCATTTTTATCTTGGCTAATGTAAATATGATGTACCTTGGTGTATTCCTCTTTGGGTCCACCTTCTTTGGGACTCTCTGAGCTTGCTGGACTT